CGCCAAAACGTTAGCCCAATAAAGGTCATTTATCAACCTTGTGAGGGTTTCGAAGAATATATCAGCAATGCTATCAACGTATGTAAACCTATGAGGATTGCGACTGTTGCAGCTTGGACGGGTTTCCAAGCAGGGTTGATCGTGCGTTGCGCAGTTCTCAACGAAGGAGGTCGTGTTTGGATTTTTGGAGGTCATATTTGGGGTTGGAGGAGGGCTCACGTCATTTGCTCAGAATGGCTCTGGTAGAAATGGCTTGATCTATCGCTAGACTTTTACTCGATCGGCACTGTTGCTTTCAGCGCAGTTCGGACTTCCTCATTCGGGAAACCCTTTTTGAACTGAACGTTTCAGGCTTACCTCTTCCAGCCGTTTCTGTAAATCCTCCATCACGAACGTCTTAGTGAGTTTGAGCAGTTCAGCCAAGGCGTAGAACGAGATTAAAGCCTATGAGAATCTTTATTGGTCTCGATGTCGATTGTTTTATGAACCCAGTGATTACTCACCTTTACTTCGCCTTTTTCAATGTAGTCAGCAAAGATTGTAATCGTTGTGTCAAAGTAGTCGGTAAGGTCAATGGAACGAGGAACTCGTCCAGTCACTTGGTGCTAAAATTTGAGCATCTGGCACTACTCGTCCACTTACGTACGCGAACAACTCGTCCAACCTGTTTAATCAGCTGTGAAACCGCGACGAAATCGACAATTTTCACATAGCGATGCCCTTTCTTGTAAATGAGTTTGATTGTGTTCTGCAATACTTTGGATCAGGTTTTACATTTCCAATCGTGGATCTAACGTAGTAGAGGGGGGGGGGTCACTGGGCGTCCTGCTCGTCTGCGCTCTCTCTGCGAGGGGGTTTCGGTTTACGGACTACTTGATTTTTCCTCAATGGCTAGAGCACAGACGATTAGAGAACGGGTGAATGCCCTAGGACTAAGCCTTGGAGAGGAGAGGGACCCGCGAGAGAGCGCAGAGGCGGTTTAAAGGGCTGAGTTCAAGTAGTCCGTCGACCGGGGGGGGGGGAAGGGAGGAATCCGTGGGAACCCTCGAGGCTTATCCCTAAAGACTGGGGTTAAAGAAGCTTCAAGAAAGCGGCAGAGCGCCATATAACTGCCGTATGCCTCCCAAAACTACGTTAGCACCCAAATCATATAGAAAGAAAGCAGGATAGAATGTGCAAGAACAAACCCGACTCCTATGAGATTCTGATCTGCTGGTGGAACTTCGCCTTTTTCGACGTCGCTCGCTTCTGCTTCGTGTGCGAGAGTGGGACTTGTCCGATCCTTCACGTTCTACAAAAAAGTGTTGATTCTACAGCATCCTACTCTTTCAATACTTTTTTCTCTGTTCTCCAAATTCGACGCTTTAATGCGATCTTTCCATGATGCGTGGCCAGTTCAAGGCGTGACTCCTTCGCCGTGTCTCCTTATCTCCGCCCAACCTACCTGCGACCGTCCCCATTGTGAAACCGTTTATCTTCGGGAACTGAATCTTCTTGTGTGAAATTTTGTACGTTACCTTTAGTGATTACAACTGACATATTCGTCGAATGCAAGAACTTTGCGAGGACGATATCTTTAATGCGGTGTTTGCTCAGGCCTTACTATTCGGATTCTTTCTTAGGTTTCCCACTCGGTGCTGCAGGCGATTTTTGATGCCTCAGTTTCAAATGCTTTGTTTTTAGATCCGTTCCAGAGCATTGGTACAATCTTTAACATCATCTGAAGTCACCATTCTCGCTCTGTTGAAGGTTATCAGTGAAAAGTTCGAACAGCAGCTGTTCGAACTTTTCACTCTTTGGCTCTGGATACTAAAGATACTCAAGACATGGTTTCGAGGAACTTCCTTATTCCCGCTCAAATTTGGGAGGCAGAGAGCGGAGGCAAGCTCGATGTGCACTTGGGTACCGCGGGGCTGAGCTCATAGTGACACTGGGACATAGCCCAGGAAGGGGGGGGGGAATGTTTGCAAGAACACAGTTTGCTCCCATTCCTCCAGAGTCCCTTCCCTCCCTTGGGATTGGCCCCAAGTGCTGCATTTTGCTCACTGACTTGAATGCCACCCCCTTCCCAACGACATGAGCGCCCAGGTCGTTTTAAAATTAAGCATAATTGACATTGGGTTCCCAAATCTGGAGGTGAGGGCAAAAAGTCTAAAGAAGTCGCCAAGTAGTGTGTCGTCGACTCTTCTCCCACAGTGGCGCAAACCTATTCCCCACATGCTTCCCTACGCATTTTAAAGTAGCCGGACGCTCAGCTCAGGAGAGCATCAGAATCACCTTCTCCCTATCAACTATCACTTTTCCGACCATCCCTGTGGAGCTTCCCTAAAGACCACTTCCTTGAAAGAGAAGTGCTTCGAACCCAACACGGTGCTGAAGCGACTTTTGGCGAGATTATCACCTCGCCGAAGGTCGCTTCAGCACCCTGTTGGGTTTCGAAACAGTTCTTTTCAAGGTGGCAGCTTCACCCTTGGGGTCTGCACCAGCAAGTGATATAACAAAAAAGAAACCCTACGGTGAAGAGAAAAAATACGAATCGGTAAGCCGATAAACAGAAGGACTAGGTTGGATAACAGGGAGATCTATCTCAGGTGCTCCAAGTGAGGTTGACACTTCCCGGCTCGGAATGCATGATCTGATCATGAACGCTGCCTTATGACAGAAATGAGTGCATTTCGTGTGACGTGTGGGATAGTTTCGCAAGTATCAGAATTGTCAAGGCAGCCTTCAGAGTTAGCGATCGTACTTGTGATTAGGCGATTGGGCGATTAGGGGCTACAATGGAGCGTTCATAGTTGGCGATCGTACGTGCGATTAGGCGATTGGGCGAGTAGGTAGGCGATAAGGGAAAGACACGTATTGATTTCTTGCTCCGCCCATTAAGCGACCGTTACTCGCCTAATCGCTTGATTGCGCGTACGATCGCCAACTCTGAAAGCTCCATAGGAAAAGATCGTTTATCGCTGACTCGCCTATTCGCCTAAATCGCCTGCAACGTCCTATGGGCGGAGCAAATGAGCCAGTACACATGTAGTCTTCCCCGCCCAGTCGCCTACTCGCTACTCGCCCAGTCGCCTACCGCACGTATCGCCAACTCTGAACGCTCTATAAGGAAAGGATCGCTATCGCTAAGTCGCCTACTCGCTACTCGCCCAGTCGCCTACCGCACGTATCGCCAACTCTGAACGCTCTATAAGGAAAGGATCGCTATCGCTAAGTCGCCTACTCGCTACTCGCCCAGTCGCCTACCGCACGTATCG